CCCCGTTCTAATCTAATTCTTGCTTAGCCTCTACTTTGGAAACTCTTTCTATTTTAGTTTTGATATTGTAAGTTGTTAAATTTTTATGTGATTTTGTCCGCATTCTCAGAATTATTCCCACGTCGGTTTCCTTATTTTTAACATCTTGACCATCGAATATACTTAACAAAAAGTTATGTTATTAATGGCATTTTATTATTGACAAAGTATTAAAAATTGTACATTAGTATTTATTATACGTAGCATTAAATTACGATGTTAAAAATCAACAAGTAATACTTTTAATCGATTTGAGGGTTTGAAAATCTGCTTTGAATTCCTCCTTGTTATACAAAAATTATCTCTTTGATGTAATATTTATATTCCGAGACTTTTCAGGAAATTAAAACATCTCTTGTTGCTTCTTTTTAAATCTCTTGTCTGATATCATAATTTTCTCACAAAATCCTTTTATCATCAGCTACAATATGCTTGCGTCCGTCCGTCTTTTTTCTATTTACTGACACACGTAGTTATTTAATCTCGTTAAATCTATTTTTCTGCAGTTCTCAATTTACTACTTACATTCGCAAAATTATCTCGTTTAATGTAACCTACTTTAACCTATTTTGTTTGTAATATATCTGAATTATTTATTTGTTAAATTCGAAGCTATTTGATAGGTAAAGGATGTATTCAATATCAGAGTTCTTACTTTTTCTTTCAAAATTAAAATCTCCTTATTTTAATTATCCTTTTATTTCTCAGTTTTTGTACTTACAACTCAAAAGCAATACAAAACAATAGTTCTATAAAATTAATTATACCGATACCTGATGGTTGCTCCTCGTGTCGCTCTTTTCTATCCATCCGAGAAAATGTAGAAAGTCGAGACAAGAAACGGTTCCATTTGTGCAATTGCACCGTATTTTGTTACTTTCATAATTTCGTCTCGATTGCAGTTCTCGCTCACACTCTGGACCAAAAAATAATAGACGAGTGACTTCTCTCATCTGCGTTGCTGACGTGATAAACGATTCAAATAAAAACATGCGTATATTCGCAAACAATACGGGCTCTTTGTACAAACGTGTCGGTGTTATATCAATTCTCCTCGTTGAATGAGGACGAGTTATGATGTCGAATAAATTATATCCTGTGATTGATAGTATGTTATACGATAATCATTAATAGCTCCATTTATAACGACTACGCATATATTAAATGTGTGATATATGATATATCGGAGATGAAGTGGAACGAACACATTGGTTTCTGTACGTTTTCAATATTAGTATTTTTGCTTCTAATTTTCTGCAATAAAAACCATAAAAATAACACGACAGTAAATTATACTGCTTTCCACTTAAATATTTTGAATGATATTGCTAAATTTTTTACTTAAATATTTAAAAAAAAATGCAGATAGTAAAATTGTAACTCAATGCTAATCGTAAAGCTATAATTAAAGATAAATCCGTTTAAAATGTATGTTGCATAATATAAGTCGTGAAATGGAATCTTCCTGGTTTCCTAATGTAAACCTAGAGAGAGAGAGAGAGAGAGAGAGATTTGGATCCAATTTTAGATTCAGTTTGGATCCTGGCTGAATTTTTAGGTAGATCCCAAGTGGATCTTTGCTGGTTCTTGGCCGAGTGGAAGCTTGATTCAGACAATGAACTCAAGGCGGGTTCTAACTGGCTTTATACATGAGCTATGGAAATGTTAAAATGGTTTCCAGCGGGTACTCGAATCTATTCGAATGCACGAGCGTCGTTGAAACGTCGCGAATTATTTCTCATCTTGGTGCTAATCTACGGTCGGGCGTGCAATTGGGACACATGTGGTGTTCTCTTCTCATTGAAATTCACATGATAATTCAATTTAAATTGGAGTCTTTATCTCTTGTTTCCCGCCAGAATAATTCGCTATCACGACCAGCCGTGGAAGGTGTAGCGAAACTTATTTTCGACCTTTGGCTTTACGTCGCGTTTCCTTAACGTGACGTTTCCTTGATTAATGTTTGTTTGTTATACACACGAATCAGTCACGCACAGACCTGCGTGAATGACATTGACATGCTCATAATTCCGATTATCCACAAATGTCGCGTGCACTTTGCCACTACGCTCTTGAGAGGAATTATTAGATTGTGAAATTCTTATGTAAAATCAAATGTCGCACTTTTCCAGTCTCTGTCTTTCTAATTTCTTCATTTCTTGACAAAAAGTCCCGTTATAGTCAAAGTTACCACGAAATCGAAATAAACGTAAGAACTGCTTCGGTCCGTTGTGAATAGTATTACACTTTAAAGGTTCGTATAATTTTTAGCTGCGACAGATATAGCAAGCAATATCGATTTAACAATTGGCAGATACGCGGAGAGAATTTTCTCTTAAAATTTCTCCTGAAAATCGCGGGACAACATGGAAGTTTGAAGAATCTTAGGAATTTTGTAAATTGTACCATACATTTCACATAATATTATAAAATACTAAGTGTAATTGCTACACTGAAAAAAAAATCTGATAGATTCAACCAGTCGTCTGTTAGAAAATGAAAATTTACCATGAAAGATATTTCATAACCAGAAGTTTGCTAGACTTCACTACACATCTGCTAAATCCTAAAGGAATTCTGACTTGTCCATTTTCTAACAGACGACTGGTTGAATCTATCAGATTTTTTGTCCAGTGTAGTGAAGTGTATGGTAAAGTTTCAGGTAACTCGTAAAACTCTTCGAAATACCGTGTCGTCCCACGATTACATAATTTTCCAGGATAAATTTTAAAAGAAAATTCCGTGTGGAAATAACGGATTTATGCGAACTTTCGCCTTTTCTCGTTGCAGACAATTCTGGGGTGCGTAGGGACTCATCGGGCAGCTGCGTGCTGAGGCGCGATCTGCCGCAGGAGGATCGGTCTGACCTGGCACTTGCCGGCGCAGCGCATTCCGGTACCACCCGCCTGCATTGTCGCTGCTACTATTCCGCGGGTGGACTGAAAATCTCGCGTCCAAAGTGGCTAAGAGCGTAAGTCCCCGTCGAGTGCACCAGGAGTGCTCCAGCGGGGTGGACGGTGTGCAGGTGCAGGCGGCGGCGCAGGTGCAGCAGCAGCAGGAGAGACGAACACCGAGGCGCATGCCTTACCTGGGGCCTGACATGACAACCCGGCTGTCCGCCATGTTCTACACGGTCGAGGTCGGGGACACCAAGTTCACCATCCTGAAACGCTACCAAAACCTCAAGCCTATCGGGTCGGGCGCGCAGGGGATAGTCTGGTGAGTGCTTCGCTGATTATTGCGCGATTCGGCGATAATTGTTTGTAGTATTGGACTGTTAGAATTAAGGGGAGACACGTGCGAGTCGCGCGATCCGGTGGATCCTCCCCGAAAGTCCCAGCGAGACCCCGTAACAAGTCTAGCGATTTTACACGAAGGTGAAAGATGGTAAAACAATCGAAGAGAACTCGTAAAGAACGTATCGATTCAGTCTCCAGACCCAATATCGAATGCTCGGTACGAAAGTTTTGTGAAAAGTTTCGTCTATCGCGCGTGATGTTTATTACGTGCCGCTTTGACGCGTCCCACGATATATCCGCTTCCTGCATAAAGTGACGCCGTCCGCCTTCAAGCTACGTATACAACCAATAACAATGGCAGCATCCATCACAGGTAAAAAATATAAGATTTGAGGCCGGGCGTATCGCTACGTCGACATACAATATATCTCGAAGGGAAGGCGGAGGGTTAACTAAGGTTTCTTTTATTTGACGGTAACGGAACGATGTGCGGAGCAACGGGGGAGGCAGAGTAAATCGAGCGATTCGATTCGGAGCGAGGGGGATGTCGAGATTTCGCGAGAGTACGCGAGAGTACGCGGATTTCCGGCGACGGGGAGCGACGACGACGACGGCGAGAGGCAGAACGCCCTTTCCTTGTACGCCGGTGGCGTGATGTCGGAAAAATCGTCCTCGGCGACAGTTTCACGGCGTTCCTCGTTGTCGTCGTGTCCGCCGTCGATGCGCAATTTTCAGACGAGGAAAATTAAATCGATCGCGTTCCCCTTTTCTCGTGAACGTCTGAGCACCGGTCCCGCCACGGTCCTCCCTCCGCGTCTCGAGGGTATTTAGAGCGGTATTTAACCGTTGCGACAACCGAAGGTAAAACGATTGTAACGGTATAAAAAGATTTCGCTGGAGACTCGATAAGAATGGACGGTAGGAGAAAGACGATATACACGGGGATGGAATTTTCTCTGGAAATTTACCTGGAAAATCGTGCAATCGTGGAACAACCCGGCATTTCGAAGAATTTTAGAAGAGCTTTTGGAAAGTTTTCGTACCGGTTTTTAGTTCTGATTGGCTCCCGCAAGCAATCCAGTACAATGAGAAAAATGTCCGATCAAATATAATCAGATAATCCAATTACATAATTCAAAACGGATATATCCAATTAAATTGTATATCCGATGAACAATATGATCGGTTTTTCAATAAGATTTCATCGGCAACTGCATTTTATCGGATAAATTTCATCGGATGTATCCATAATTTACTCGGAAAACGTAATCGGAAAAACCATCCATCGAAAACACTATTTAATTGGATTATCCGATGGAAATTTTTCTCAGTGTATGAATCAATTTTTTCATTCATTGAATTTAAGTACGATTTGTCTCTCTCGTGATATCACCTCGAATATTCACCGACCCTCTTTTAAAAGTAAGATCGAAAAGTAGAATTTTTTTAGAGCGGGATATAAATAGAGTAAAATCGGAATATTCTCTGCATTTTATATAATTTATATATCCTCTTGAGAACTTGGGAGAAAATTATCTAAATTTCAGTTTTCTAACTTGGATATTCTTATAAAGTAGGTAAACCTAATGGCAAGGTATTACACTTTTTAATTTGTTCTTCTGGTAGGTCTGATGATTTCGCAAACGGCCATTATTTTCATCCTTCGCTCTCGTTCCTAGCGTTAGTGTGATGCTAGTTTTCTACCCCGAGGTCGTTTGGAAAATTGTTGAAATTCACGGGGAACATTATCGATTGTACGAGTAAACGGGGATCCATCACGATTATCGTTCCGCGGATCGTCTTCCTCGGTGCCTCGCACATGTCTCCCCTTTGCCGTTCGATAGGAACTGAAATACTGCATTATCCGAGAAAGCGCAATCTCGAACAATACACGCTGGCCGCGGCATGCAGGTAAGTCGAACGAACGAACGAACGGTCGGAGGGAATGCGCGGATATCGGTTTTCGATAAAAATTCTGCCGTAGCGTGGTCCATTACGGGAAATATGCGAGCCGCCTTTTCGTTTTGTCTCTCCTCGAGGAGAGCGAGCTGCTCTCGAAAAGGACGCTTGATTTCGTACGCATGGAAGGTAGGTCAGGAAAGGAAATCGGCTAACGACGGCCGGATATTATTCACGGTGGAATCTGTGACCCGCACGTTAATCCTGGACGTTATCGGGAATACCGGACATAATTTTTGCCAACGCTAAAAAATTTCATTATCCTGCGAAAGGGGAACATTATAATCAGGAGGAACATTATAAATCAGACAGTGCCCTTTTTGTTTTAACGTAATGGAATATTAGCGGCTAAAAAAATGTTATAACGAAGATCTCGCGAGGGCATGAAGTATCCATTGAAATTCGCAGTTACGAGAGGTATCTCGATACTGCCGGGATCGAGGCGATGTTGTAAAATGCCAATGAAGTATGTCTCGGGTTGGCGGCGTTTCTCGGAGATTAAATATATTCTGAAAGTTTTACGCATCGAAAGGAATGCGCATTCCGAAATTATTTCAGAGAAAGCAAAAGAGATGATTCACTCTACTTGCTCGCATCCTACTGAAATGTACCTTCAAGAATTTGTGAAAGTATCAATGTATCGCGGAGATATTTTTGAAGAACTCGAGATATCGATCCAAATTTCGTTTCCTCACGTTGAGATTGCTTTTCCGAATTTCTTTTAAAAAATGTTGAGCTGTTGTACACTGACAAAAAAATTTTTTTAAACTAAGCAAAGAGATTTACTTAAAATTATTTTTTTACTGAAGTAAATATTTGTTCTATTTAAATAAAAGTATCAAATCTTAAGTAAATCTATGTATTATATTAAGTAAATTAATTTAAATCATTACATTTTCTACATTCAAATACAGATTTCATGAGATATAGAATACTATTTATTAAATAAATTAATTGTTTTTTTTAAAGAAGAAATCAATTTTCTTCGCTGTGAAAATTACATCTTAGTAAACATTTTATAGAATTAAAATAAAATTTAAAAAATTTTTAATTATCTATTTGATATTTAATAAATACTTAAATTAAAGCATGCATGTTTTAATTAATTTATTATTTTTTAAATTTAAGTTAATAAGCTATTAGGAGCAGCCACCTAATGAATAATTTTCTTAACTAAAGTAATATTTTTTTGGATCAAGATATTTTTTTATCAGTGTACCGACTCACTTATCTTTGATCGTTGTCTTTTCTTTTATTATCGTGCTTTTAGGAAGAGATCCTCGCGAATTTCTAGCATCACAATCCTTATCGCACTTTGCAGAACTGTCACAATTGGTGCTATGGAAGCTTACCCAGGTATACGTCGCTTGGAAGTCAGAGATTTTTCCGGGGGGAGGGGAAAGGGTTAATGATTTCTTGAAATCCCTGCGAGAATATACCCGGGTGGCTTTTACCATTATCCTAAAGCTGCGAGGCATACAGAAATGTTGGAGGAGAGACGGAGGGGAGTTCTGAGCTCGTTTGATCGCGTTTAACCGGCCGTCGAATGCGATTTCTCCCACGAGGAAACTGTCTTGCTCGTGAACACGGCATTTCGACAGGTAGGACGGAGGTAATGTTCTGTCGTGGAGAACCATCCATACTTAGGATTATATGTGTATTCGATGGAAGGGTGCCTTTGAAGTGCTTCCTATTTAGCAGCGTATCTCTGGTGCCGCTCGTTATTTTTCCGGCTTGGACTCTCTGATAATTGAACCTCTCGCGTTCGTTTAACGAGCCACAACTGCGAAGTACGTTTGGATCATGAATTGCGATCTGTAACTCGAGATCTAAAGCGCAAGATACCGGGAAACATTGCACTTTGTTCTATCTGATTGTCTGATTTAGGCCAGTATTCATAGTCAGGTCTTATAGTCAAGACTGTCTCAAGATCATCTTTAAATGCCCCGGAGCCGATGAAATGTTCCGTACAGCATCTTTAGATAAATTCAAGGCGGTCTTGAATATAAGATCCGGCTATAAATACCGGCGTTAATGTCTCGTGTGCGCTGATGATTTTCTAAGTTTACAGATCAAAGCTAATAATTTGACAAGAGCTTAAAATTATCGTAAGAGACGTAAAGCGTTTGTGGCTCGATAAACGTTGACGTTTATTTCAAATCCTTTGATGCACATTTGGTTTCTTAGTTTTTATCTCTATAAAAATTTTCTGCATATACAAATATATGTGTAATATCCTGAATTATATATCTTATGGACATAAAGTGTAATTCAGAACGATTGCTATACGTTGCACAACTGTGCAATACTATAGCAATCTTATTGGCGACTGTAATTTTATTTCACATTACTTCGACTTTTTATTTTGCCGATTTGCTTATCCTTGCATGGTTTTTGGATCCATCCAACACTCTCTTGCACTACCAACTGTCAATTGCGATTAACATTGGCGCAAAATATATGCTACGGGGTGATCTCGCAAGAATATGCTGAAAGCGCATTAGATTGTATGGATGGTTCCAACAATCAAGCACGAGCTCGCGCGACGCCGTTCTCGAAGGAAAATCGAGCGAGAAGGAGAGAGGAAAAGAGATCTTGCCAGGTAGAGCGACGGGCCTAACTCGAGCTCGTTCCAAGAGTTATACATTACGCTCGTTTGTCCTTTGAGACTGCTGTCGGTGACGTTGTTGCAGCGGTCGACGGAGAAAAATTACGTTCCGCGAGACGCGATGCGTTTTGCAACTCGAGGCGCAAAATATAATTTAATATCTTCCGACGAGTTTCTGCATTTTTGCCAGATAAATATAATAAAAATCGCCATCCGGCGCCGCCGTACTTTAATTTACATTCTTGGGCGACTTATTTCGCAATTAATGAATTTGAAAGAATAAAAGGCCTCCGATGTCAATTAAAAGAAGTTTAAAATCGGATATCTACAGGTATATACATTTTAATTGTTTAACGTAAATTAATGACATTAGTGATTACGGATTTATTTGTCTTCTCTTATATAATAAATTGTGATATTAACGGAAATAAATGAGTTTCATTACGGGCCCGTAATCCGCGCCATTTAATCGCACCGCTGAAAGCGAGCCTTCGGCCACGAATGTCGCCGAAGCCCGGCGACGATAAATTTTCTCCGTTGCCGCGATCGGCTTGATCGTTTTCGTTTTCTGTGTCCTGTAGTTCTTGTGTCGTTGGTTTGGTAGCTAGAGGCGTGATATACACTACCTAAGTTAAGGCACGAGTACCGCCGCGGGTCTGAGAGCTAAAGAAAGGGAGACAAAGGGAGAAACGGAGAATTAAAGAACCTACGAAAAGAGGTAATGCGATGGCGACGAACGCGATGGAATCGAGCAACGTTCGGAGCGGCTATCGTCGTGGCGTTTTCGGCGACACCGAGCTTTGCATACCCGAGAGATACGTCGACGTCGCGCCGCGTGGCGTCGGCGCTCAGGGTATCGTCTGGTGAGTACAAGCCCGTATGATGGATCATACGCCGCAAATATGTCTACTTTTCCGTCTTCGCTGACCTTAATATTATAGCTTTAGTCTTCGTCAAAGAGCGCTTGTTTCGCGTCCGGTTACGTTAAATTCTCTGGAGCCATTGTTGAAAATTGGCCGTGTATCCTTTGACCTTTGTGCTCCCGCAAAGTAGCATCCTCTCACGTTCTATGTGTTTCTCGCAGTATCTTGAATTAAATTTCCCTGACTTTATTTTCTACATTAATTCGACTAACGAGAAACATTCCTGGCAAAATACGTGTGCTCTGTTTTTATTGAGTTAATATGGATTTTCTTTTAAAATGTATCTTCAGAGTATTGTAATCGTGGAACGAAGCGGCATTTTGAAGAATTTTATGAGTTTTTTTTGTAATTTTACCATTTTACCAAGGGGAATTTTTAAAAAATCGACCAAACTGGCAAAAATGATGTTTATTTTAGTCACGACGTTTCAACCCCTTTATCGGGTCCTTTTCAAGTACAATATGGAAACGTTGTAAGTGCTTATTAATTTATTATTAGCTAACTAATTTATTTAACTTATTATCTTATTTCTTTGACTGTTTTTGTACTTCTACTCTTAATTTATTAATTTACCTAACTACAAAAATATCCAATTATTCACTTGTAACAATGTCAGATATGATATTATAAATTTGCTACCACAGACTCATGAACCCATTCTGTTTCGGCATAAAGGTAAACCTTCGGAAAACCCACGTATATGAAATAAGGGATAACAGCACTCAATTCCTATGTATT